CCACACTTTTCTTTGAAATCGCTTTATTAGTTCTCGTGCAATAAGCGTTTTTGTGAAGCTCTAAAAATTACAACTACAACATTTGAACATAGCCCCCATACCTTAAGGTAAGACGTATTCTACGTCAAAAAAAAACGAAACCTCAAGAAAAAAAAATCTTATTAAGAATATTTATTGTCCGTAATCTAGGACCCAAAATAACGTTTGCGTCTCTCGGAGTTTTTTGTGTCATTTAGTTCTTTCATTCGTTTTTTTTTCTCATACCTAATTCTTGCAAAGGCGGCGCAGAAACAAAAAAGGTGTGCCGAACAGGCAGATGGAGTTGTCATGTACGCCTAACACAGTCAGGTGGTTGTGGCACGGGAAGTCCAACAAGTTGTCTGCAATGCAGTGAACTGGCACCCAGTGTAAAGCAAGCTCGTTATGTTTACCAACATAATTTAGTCGAGACTTTCATTACTGAACTAGTTTCGAAGTAGTAAGAGGGCTGGCGAATGCTTTAAGTGCCGCTTGGCTGTCACTGCAGACACGTAAACACCTTCCCCTCCACCTATTTTGCACCAACTAGTGCAGTGCCTTGAGGATTACAAATACCTCTGAATGGGAGATCGAAGCGTATTCCCCAAGACAGAAGTTGCCCCCCTTATCTTCGCTAAATACCCAAGATCTTACCCAGATTCAGTTTCGGAGCTACCACTAAAGTTTCGAAAATGTATGACTCTAGGTATAGTGCTGGAATTAAACCAGCCTTCAAATTCAGGGAACTCAAAGTTATAAAATCTCTTCAACAATGGTAATGGTGATATACTATCCTGTGACATTGAAAAGACACAAGTGCTCAGATCTCTTCCGCCAGAAAATTCCGCTTCGCCCTACTCAGTATTATACCAAAATCCGTTTTTTTTATGTCTAAAGGTGGCCTTTAAGGCTTCACCACGTATGAATATACAAAGGACTGAAAGTGCAGCAGTGCGTAATGTGAGGTTAATGCCATTATTTGAACTTCTCCTGATTGTGAAGAGCCCTAGTTTTTGTTGGGTAAGTGGTGAACCCATTTCCATTAAACCAAGTGTGAATCATGTGAAGGATGCCATGCTAATAGGCCTAAAGCTGCTGGGGCTAGTACAGTCATCCTTAGCAACTTTAGGTATAAAGGCGATATCAACCAGCCTTCAAGGTCGTGGTATGTAGGCAAGTGCAAGCGACGCTGTGAAAATATTTGGAAGGGTCACCACATTCTTTACGTACAATGGGTAGGATGCCATCCGGGACGGTCGATTTAAAAATGTTAAAAGACTCAATAACATAACTTATGACATCGTCAAGCGCCACAGTTCTGGCAACAAACCAGTTGTACCTTGGCTTAGTGATTCTCGCATTACCTACCGCTCCTGTCGAGGGATTCCCGGAAAGTGAGTCTCTAGAAGAACAGAGAGGGTATCAGTCCTAGTCTCCGTTCAAGAGCCAACAGATCTCTGGCGTGAACCCAGCTCTGCGGTTTGGTTCTCTTCAGAACATTTACCAGTGTAGCTGTTTGACGCAAGATTTCAATCCCGCTGATGTATTTCTTAAAATATTCTTTTTTCGTAGAGGGAATTAGTTTCTTATACTCTCTTTACCTGCGGCGATAGCTTTTCCAGTCCATCTCGAAATTAGTTTTGAGGTCTCAGTTAGAAAGTTTTTCTGCTGCTAACTTATCAACCTCTTTGTTCACCAGGCATACGGCGGTGGTGGACAAGACAGACAAGCTTCCTAGGTGGTCTGGTTTCCAAGCGCCTCCATAAAATACGGCGAGCCCATTTTTTTCAAGTTTCGCAAAAAAATAGTATTTCTTCTGCTAGCGAAGAGTTTGACATGTGCAAAGAAGCCGCTGGACGTTTTTAACCCAACGTTGTACGGCACTCCAATAAACGGTTAGTAATCTGTTCCAAAGCATGACGTGCGAAAAGTTTGCTGGCCGACAGGTAAACACTAAATTTTACCAGAGGTTTAGGAAAATTACGGAAAGTTTCAAGACCATGGCCAAATCCTATAAAAACGAAAACGGCACCTAGTTACCGATGTCCAAAACGTACTTAATTTATGGAAGGAACATTTTTCTCCTACTGAATGCTATCAGCACTGAATATTGTGGAGAAAACGAACCCAAGACCCCAGCCTGGCAGCTGAGCTATTCAAGTCGTCGCTTTTGGGTGCATGCATCATGGGCCTTATCAGTGTGGCTTAAGACCAGCCACCAAGTATTAAGAAAATACCCGCGAGTAAATGTTCAACACTCACAATCTAATTGTCGACTTAACAATCACTTTCGACAGCTCTGAAATGCGTTGCTTGCACGCCGAGATGTCTGAATTTGTTATCCCCGCGAAACTGACACGGCTGCGTAAGATGACGTTGAGCAATACCACCTGCTCTGTCAGAATTGGGAGGGACCTCCCTGAGCCTTTTGATATCGAACGAGGTTTAACCAGGGTGACTCCCTGGCGAGTGTTTTCTTCAATCTGATGTTGAAGAAGATAATAAGAGCTGCAGAACTGGAACAGTACCTACAACATCATCAATAACAAAACCGCGAATGGATCTGGTGGCCAAGGATAATAGGATGAAGTATCTTCTGTCATTAAACAAAGAATCGGTGTATTCGCACTTTGACCCGCACCTCACCGTTGACAGTTATAATTTCGAGCAAATAGAGCACGTCGTTTACTTTGAAACCAAAATTATCACCGATAATAATTTCAGCATCGAAATCCAATGCAGAATCACTCTTGCCACCATGTGCTACTTTGGACTGAGTAGGCAATTCGGATGTAAAGTCCTCTCTCGACGTACAAAAACCACGCTCTATAAGTCACTCATCATGCCCGTGCTGGCATATGGCCATGACGCTTGCTTGGCCATGTCTTTCGAATGAACACCAACTCCCCAGCTCTGAAAGTACGAAAGGCGGAATCCGCTGGGGGTAGAAGAGGAAAAGGGAGACCCCGACTGCGATGGAAAGACCCAGGGGAAAAAAGCTTGGCTTCACCTAGCACTTCCAAGTGGCCTCAGTTGACGCAGAAGAGAATCGACCAAACTCGGCCAAAATCGCTTAGGCGGCTGCAGAGCCAAAGAAGAAGAAGAAGAATCTAGTCCAAAATCGTTTTATGACGGTACATTTAATTTTTTGCGATAACAAAAATCTCTAATACCATAATATTATATTGGTATGAAAAAATGCCTGCTTCTGAAATGAGTATGATAATTCTTAGTACCACCAGCTACTTATAGTTTATTGGAACTTTATGTTTTCGTCATAATTCGGAATAAGGTTTCTATGATTCATAGTTTTTTGTTCTACTCGATAATATACTCGTTAAGTTATCAAAAAATATCGATATACATATATAAACTAATTTTGATAAATATCGCTAGCTTAGAGTGAAAAGTTTCTAAGTCCACTTTTTATGAAAACTCATATTTTGATATAGGAGGCTAGAGAAATTGAATGCGCATCGTTTCGAAAATTATAAAGGTACTTGTTTTATTTTTTCCGCTTCATAGGCAATAAAAGGAAAATTTGCTAAGTCCAAAGGAAGCACCGCAAATCCGATAAGGCCAAAATTATACGACATCTTTTAATAAATATCGAAAGCTTCTGATTCTTATGGAGTTTTGCTTTGCTTTTAACACGCAAAATGTTTGATTCAAAGTCTTGCGAAATAGTTAAAGAAAATGGCTATAGGAAGATTTTTTCCTCTCCTGTAAAATTTTTAAAATGGGACTTAGCAACTTTTCTTTCTAAGCTAGCGATATGCAAAAATAGCCAAAACGTATGTGATGTTAGATTTACCCCACGTTGCATAGGTGAGGATTTTTTTCACCTAGTACATTTATACACCTCCAAATTATAGTAGGTCCTACATATACATACATAGATACCATTCCACAAATGCGCCTAAGCAGACAGGCAGTGGACAAATGACAGAATAGTCCAGAGAACATAATTTTTATATATACCTACATACAATTGAATGTACGTAAGACGGCAGCCGACCTAGTTTGGAAATCATGCAGTATTCGATGGAATCCGTTGCAGAGCACATCCGCTTTGCAGTAAAGTGGCGTGCGATTGCAGACGACGGATTAGGCTTGGATTATTATGAGGTGGTGACCATTTGGACAAATTCATATAAGTAACGAATGAATTACGAGGTCCGTAATATTGCCTCCTTACATAGGAGGAGTTTGCGAATAAATGTAGAATATAGCTGTGTTGGAGCTATATATGTATGTATTTATATGATGCACTAGGATGTACATATATGTATTACGCTAGGTAGCGAAACAAGTTTGTAATTGCCAACTTCAAGAGGATTTTGTCGCTGCACAAATTTCCGCCTTACTGCGACAGAAATGGCCAATATAGAGGTTTCCTTTATTTGTATTTGTGAGAATATTTATGTTTGAATATAGCTTTGGCGAAAATAATCTCTTTCGACCAATAAACAAATTTTTTTTTCAGTTTCTATCTGACTTAATTAAAATTTGGAATGGAATTGTGTGCGGAGAACACCTTTTTCCAAGCACTCAATCTGTATTGCCCATTGTAGTTAAAGCCAAGAGACAGGATTTAGAGGAAAATGATATGTATGTGGGGAAGGGAATTCATTGCTCCTCTGCAAACTTACCAGACTCCTTTATGAATTTTAGCAGTTTGTTGAGGGGAAGAGAATGTAACTCGTCCATTCTAAGTACATCCGACCCAAAAATGTTCTGTCTGAGTCTGCCGAAGGCCGGACATAAAAAAAGCAGAAGAAAAAGTTTCTATCAGGGATCGTAGATAACTCCTTCTTACCTAAAATTCAGTCACTATTAGTCAGATTACAAACTTGTTTAGGTCTGTTAGCTTTTTATGACAGTTCATAAAATAAAAAATTATTAAGAAAACTGCGATTTCATTTTTTTTTGTCGTGGGGCTTTATGATGGCAAAGTTTTCTAGAAATAAGCCTTCAAAGTAATTACAAGCCTTTTTCTATTGTATGAGCACCTCCCGATCTAATGTACATACATATATGCACGGGTCAATTTTCGTTTACAAAATATTGTGCTGCTGTTGCTGTTGTTGCAAGTTGATGGCGTTAAAGCACTTTTCATTGTAGTGTGCAGCGGCATGTGTGCATGTGTGTAGTACAATTGTAAATGTTATGCAAACTTGAAAGCAGGAAATACATATTAATTGTCCGGCTCGGATGTGTGAAAATATGTGCATATTATATACATGTAAATATGTACATTAGTGCGTATCGTGATGCATGGGTCAAAAAAGTTTAATTGGGTCGAAGCGATTTTGAACCCGCAGTTCCATATTAGCTTTTAAGGAATTGTGGCACGCACAACTGCCTGGTGTGCGATCGAAAGCTTTCTTCGTCTTCGTTAACAACGTACAAAGCCTTTAAGCCGTCGATATTAACGTTGACCTGCTTATCGCGAATGTCGACCTTGAATTATTTTTCACATCGTTTTAGAACGGGATGCGGTCCTTCGATATTACCTTTAATGAGGCTAGTGAAAACGCTTTGGCTCTCCGCTGCTTTGGGTAGAAATTGACGGAAAAAATTCAGCATACCCAAAAAACCTCTAAGGTCGCACACTCGTTCTGGTGCTTTCATTTCTTGAATAACCTTGACCTTGTTTGTTGGTGATTTTAGACCGTCCGGAGTGACCACGTATCCACGTATCGTATTTTTGATTCTCTTTTGCTCAGAATCGGCAAACTGCTCTAACAAACACCTGTCACTCAAAATGCTAGCGGCAATAAATTGCGACTCCACTTGCGCAATCCACAGCTCGGCTATTGCATGCCAAAATGGTGGAATGTTCACGGTCGCCTTTGCGATTTCGGTAACGCGTTCGTTTGCGCGTGGATTTGCAACAGGTTGTTGCACAGCGGCTTGCATGACGGAGTCCTTTGACCCTTCTTCGTTAGGCATTCTGTTTTAAAAGTCGTCGGGGTCACAAATTTGTGGTGATTATATTAAATCAAATACAAGTATTTTTATTACTAAAAATTAAATTTAAACTTTATTTAAAAGCATAGAACCCTGTGTTCTGAAAGCATAGATTTCTTATGCTCTCTCTCGTGTTTCCTCTTTACACAGAAACATCGTGCCGTACAATTGTTATCTTTTAAATAAAGTTTAAATTAAATTTTTAGTAACAAAAATACATGTGTTTGATTTAACATAATCACCACAGAATTAGCAAAGATAGGAAACATTTTTTTATTTTTTAATACCTTGACAGCGGTGTATCATTGTTAGAAATCGGATATTAAATAAAGAAGTTATAGAAAAGAAGCGATTTACATGTTTTTACAGGGTGCCGGAAAAAATTTTACACTTCTAAAATACTCTTCTAGCGAGTGTTCAAAATCGCTTTGAACTAATTTTCTTTTTTTTTGTGATGTACATATGTTGGGTAGGGCGAGTCAGTTTGTATGGGAGAAGGATTCTACGTGGAGCTCGCCAAAATGCGAAAATAGGTTTTTTAGCATTTTTCCGTAGTGTGGTAAAGAAGTGCATAAATTTGGTAAAAAAACACATACTATAAGGGGTTTTCCGATATGAGGAATTAATTTCTGAACTTATCTGTTTCTGAAAACCTTCACCAGAGTGCGCAGCAGTGGAAATTTTCCCGTTTTCTTCGACATCCATTTTTGCAATTTGGCAAAGTCCAAATTGATTTTAGACCCCTAGTTTCTTCGGAAAATCCACATAGAATTACACGTAGAATCCACCTATGCTATACGCACATAACTAGTAAAAACAAAAAATTACCTGCCCTAATGTTTGGTCTAATGTAGTACATACATACATAGGATAATTCTAATGCTTTTGCGCTTTGGCATTTACGTTTCTTGATATGTTTGTACGAGAATGTGTCAGCGTGCATATGCTTGGGCTTTGAAGGCTTAGAGGCGTACAATAAATCTATCATAATAATCCTTGTAAATTGTAATCATGAATATTCGTGGAATGACATGAATTGTGTCAGGTTAGGTGGCAAGATTTTAATTGTTTAGCATGCTTAAACGAAAAGCACGTACATACATACACAAGCCGAAAGCTTCATACCTTGCATGAACATCTGAAAATTTTACTTTAACAGGTTATTGCATTTGAAAAAATTTATATATTCACAGCATACATAGATAGAGGAGATACATATATATAAAATCATGTGTAATACTATGTTTCCATGCTTCGTAATTCGCTCTCCCATTCATCATTCACCATCCAATTACCCTTCGAATTACGTAATTCGCCATACAAAATTTTTAGAGCGAATTACCTCATTGTAGGTAATTCAGATCGGATTACCATGCGAATGACGAACGAATCGGTGCCTTCTGTAATATTTATCGGAAATATATCGAAATTTTCACCGACCAGGTCGAATTTGCTGGCACTTTTTCTAGTTGCTGGAAAATTAGTTAATAAAATATTCTCTATATAAATGAAAATCCTTGATGAATTAAAATTTTGCTCCATTTTCGATACTTTCAGTACACAAAAATAATAATAAATAGCGAAGAACAAGAACAAGAAGTAGAGCTGCCAAACGAATAAATAATGTGTGTCGTGGAAACAGGGTAATTCGCGAATTACTTAGCGAATTACGAATCGTGGAAACATCGTATAAGCAATCAGATATTCGTAATCATAGATTACAAAAATTATCGGTTTTAACTGTCCAAATAAAGGAATTTTACAGTTAAACCCCATATCTATATGGAAGCTGTATGTTATAGTAGTCCGATTCTTGCGGTTCCGAAAAATTATTTAAATATTATAAAAATACACCCTCGTAGCAAATTTCATCCGGATATCTCGAAAATTGAGAGACTAGATTGCATACAAACAGAATGTCAGAGGGACATGGCTAAATCGACTCAGCTTTGACGTTCTAATCATATAAGTATAAATTTTAATGGGTCTATCTCTTCTTATTCTGGTACTTACAAACGTCGGACCAAAGTTATAATACCATTTCATGCTCATGAAAGGTATACTAAAAAATTATAGTTTAAAAAACTGAAAAACTTGCTTTTGTTATTTCCATTCGTACTGTCATCAGGTATGTAACTTGGGAATAGAAATCGCTGCATCTTTTAGACACATCAATATTACATAGTAACATCGCTAATAAAGGCGAGATAAAAATACTGCAATACTTGGCGACTTAAATGGCAAAATAAAAATAATATTGGAAGCATTATAGCTAATGAAAAAAAAAAATTAAGAACCACTAGTACAAGTACCACTAGTATCAAGAATGATAGAATACAAGATTGCGCCAATCGAGCTGAGAGCAGCTGGCCGTGACTTCAACAAATACCAGAATGAGAGAGCAAGACGAACTCGACAAGAAAAATAGGAAGCATCGAACAAAAGGCAGTATTGCCAAGTTTTGAATTTGAAAAAGTACCAAATTTTTATTGGTGTATTTTATGGACTTTATATGCATACATAACTTTATTGTAAGGATGCCGATTCCAATTAAGAAAAATCAATGTTTCTTGCACGACGGTCGATTTCTTCTGGTATGATTGAAGGTGCTGCCACATATTTTGTTGTCGCTTATGATTGTCACTGTGCCATGATTTTGTTTAAATTTTTGTAAAGTTGCTTACCATATTTACGATTGCTATAAATTTTGCTTCCATTTTTTTTTAATTTTTTAATTTGGTGTCTTCAAACTAAAAACAAAACCATTAAAAACGCACCAAACTCAAAAATTTTCGCGTTTTAAATACCCACTAAATTTGGTGCGAAAAGCATCAAGTTGGCAAGAGTGAATGTAAACAAAAGGATTTTATGACGTCAGCGATTTGATGGATGTTGACAAATCGACGAAGAGAGAGTTAGCGGTCCGCGAATGGCGCGACCTTTATTTTCTGGATCATGCACTAGTATAAATATTTGCATACACATGCACTGTAGTTAATACATTTCAACTGAAAAAGATGTTGCTAGATATTGCGGACTGTTTCGTGATTTGATTTACCTGATTGTCAAAAGTTAAAACCGGTTTGCGTTGGCGCTTTGGGACCCTCTTTGTGGCAATTGGTTTCAAAAAGTTATTACTAAATACTAGAATTAGTTTCTGGTAAATCACGACAAGCATCAGAAAATGCACGTTATATTTATGTAAAAAGTATTATCTGCAAATGTCGCTGGTAACCCAAGAACTGGCTATCGTTAACTAATTCACTAGTGAATGGTCAAAAAGGTTAGGCAACATGAAAGAAGGGATTGTGTTTTATTTAGTTCAAATTCAATTAACTGATTTGATTTTTGGGGGTTAAGTTAGGAGTTAAGTTAGAATAAAAAACTTATTTACTTAAATATAAATTTATTTTATATAGTAAAAGTGTATTAGGGCAATTCATCTAAACACGTAAATGCCTCGTAACCTTGAAAACCTCGTAAACTTACTTAATTTTGTGTGGAAAATCGGTTTATTTACGAGGTTTCCGCAGTTACGAGGTATTTACGCATTTCCATGAATACCCATATTAAAATTCATAATCATGCAAGAAAATGCCAAAACAGCACTCTTACCTCGAAAAGCTATTTTTGTACTTAGCATCACAAGTGATTTCGTCGAATAATTAAATATGTTAAGGTAATAAAACCATAATACGCGGTTTTTCACTTTAATTGAGAATGTGTAAGAGCGCAGTTATCCACGAACGTGTACGTAGCGTAGCGTAGAAGTACGTAGAAACATATCAAGTTTGCTGTTGATAGAAAGAGAGGGAAGCAACGTCTAGTCACGGTCATGCCGTGGTGAGTTTTCGTTAACGAGCAGATCCCACAAGATAGATCGTGTTCGCTGACACGTTCTCCGTTTTTACGTCCGTGGGTAACTGCGCTTTAAGTATAAGCTAATCGTATGCACCCAAAAAAAAAAACGGGCGCATATACATAAGTAAGTATGTATTTGAACACATACATGCAGTGACTAAAACTAATTAATTTCAACCGGCTAAAAAATTGCGTTGATTTTTGAGAATTTTTTTAGACTGCCTTTGCGTTCTTTTATAGGTATAACAAGTGAAATTTACAAAACCTGGCTTTGATTTTTTGAAATTTTGTTGCTAACGGTCTCCCTCGTTTTATTTCATAAGAAATTCATGCTTACTTGGAAAAAGTTGTAAAATTCCATCACCAAAACACATCGCAAAAATCAACGGGAAAAACATTACAAATATTAAAAAAATATCAACACATGGTCATTTGTTTGAGTCACTGTATATCCATACTAACGATATTTATGTAATATAAATTAAAAAATCCAGTCACTTTAAGGAGTTATACAGTCGAATTACTCTTTTAAATTGAGTGCAATTCGCTTACGTCATTTAATAAATAAATTTTATACAATTGTATGAAACAGCAACAACAGTTTTATTATTTAATTCATGCGTAGATATAAATTTAATTTAAAACAAGTAAGAGCAGCTCTGTCTTCGGCTATGCCGAAGGCTTCATACCTTTCAAGAACATCTCAAAATTTTATTTTAACAGATTACTGCATTTAAAAAATTTATATATTCATAGATAGTGGAGATATATATTCATATATAAAAATCATATATAAGCAATCAGAGGTATAGAAGACATACCTTATATAGCACCAATGTAAGTGATTTTCACTGCTGTGTGATCGGTATGTAAACCTGTAACACAATTTAATGGGTTTAGCTTCCTCCATAAAGGAGATATATCGCAAAACCTGGTATCCGAACAATCAGTGGTACAAGAGATTAAGATTATACAGCATAGATTTTGACGATTTTCTCAGTAGACTTTGTGTTAGTATTTAAAAGATAGCTTAAGAAATTTATCTGTCCAAATAAGGGAGTTTTAGAGTAAAACCCCATATCTGAACAATCAGTTTTATGGGGACAATACACAGGTTATAG